CCCTCCCCTCCCCGTCCGCGGCGGCAAGTCTCGCGAGATCTTCCTCTCCCCGCCCCTTTCCTCTCAGCGCTCCGCTCGGCCGCGGCCCGACGGGATCTTTCGAGAAGTCCCCCCGCCCCGAGGAGGCAGCGCCCGCCGCCGCCGCCGCGCATTTAAACGGGCCGAGCCGCCGCTCCTCAAGGCGCCTCAGTCCCTTCTCCCGCCGTAGCGATGTCGGTGGTGGGCATCGATTTGGGTTTCCAGAGCTGTTACGTGGCCGTGGCCCGCGCCGGCGGCATCGAGACCATCGCTAATGAGTACAGCGACCGCAGCACGCCGTGAGTGCGGGATCGGGGCGGGCCGCGCCGCCTTCCCGCTGCCGCCGCCGGGCTGAGGAGCGGGGCCGAGGCGGCGGACCTCCCGCTGAGGGGAGGGCGCCCGCTGGGCCCGGTCCTGCCCCGGCGTGGCGGGGAGGGAAGGCAGCCGGGGCCGAGGGGCTGGTGATGGGGGGGGGGGGTCGGGAGAAGTGGACTTTGTTAAATAAGTGCTTAAAGAAAGGACGGATACCGTGCGGCAGGCATGGAGAGGTGTTCCAGGTGACCCGCTCTGCTCCTTCCCATTTTGTGTAGTAAGACCAGTTTGTCCTCCCGGAGGCAGGGCTGCGTTGTGAGGATTAAAAGGATAGGGTCCCTGAGCATCAGAAAAAGCACCCGTATCTCTGACGGCGGGAAGTCACGAAGCTTAATTTCCCTGTGAATTTATACGCCGTGCTTTGACGCACCTGATAGCCTACCTGTTTGTTCTGCAGCTCCAGTCCTGTCTCCCCCAGGGCAGCCGGACCGTGGAGGTGAACGCTGAGCTGGTGCTTCGCTCTGTGCGAGCTCCTTGGCCTGCCGCTGGGTCAAAGCTTAGAAAAGCTTCTTAGCAGCCTTCCCTTCAGCCTGCGTGCTTCTTTGTTCAGCAAGGGTTCTCAAAAAATCTGTGCTTTTTTGAGTATTGGGTCTTTTAAACTCTCACTTGAAACTAGCCACCAGATTGACAAGTTATTAGGATGGGGAAATGGAGTGTGAATAGACAGTACAGTGTCAGACATCTGCTTTCCTGTGAAGGGGATGGGCTGACCAACAGTGTAGTTTGCTGGTGAACTTGGTCTTGAAGCACATTACGCTATACAATGTGTATAGAATATTCTAACTCTGGTTATATAAATAGGCCTCCCAACACATTTCTCCTGAAGAGTGTGCATTACCTATTTTTAATGAGAAACTTGCCAAGAAGGAGGGGGAGAGCTGGGATAAAACTCTTCTAAGAATCAATTGCAAAATAAAGGTGGAAAAGGAACTTCCAGTGCGCCTCACCTGGAGGGGAACTGTTTGGAAAGCTGTCTTAAAAGTGTTTCTACAGCTTACTCTATGTTGTAGCATAGCTAGCTTTATTTTAAGCAGATACTAAAGTAAATAGCCGTCTTGGTGAGACAAATGCATCGTCTTAGTTGTTTTGGTTTTGGTTTTTTTTAGATCTCTCACATCTGTTTAAAAAGACCAGAGGCATAAAATGACCTTGCTTCTCATTAGACAATACCTCGGCTCTGTTTGCCTGTTACTGTCTCTAAGCAGGGAATAAATGGAGAAGGAAATTTTTATTTGGTACATGTGCTAGAGTAAGGAGTAGTCTCTTATGTATCCTCAGTAATATGGAAGTTTAAAGGTTAGATGTACTAAGAAAATGTTTAATGTCAAGAATTTCGAAGCAATCTTCTGATAGCTCTAGGTATCTGGCCCTCAGAGAGTTGAAGTTCTGCTTACATATAGTTGAAACATGAACATGAGTCTCCTTCACTGAAGGAGATGAGCTATATAAAATATCTGACACAATGAATAATTCAGTTATGAAAGGCTGAAGTGAAATGGAAAAAATCAGCATAATGAAAATGATAGTTTTTAACAGGACTTAATCTCCGAGCACTGTTCTGAGGCAATACAGAAAACAATTCTGTAAGCAAACCCATCTATTAAAAGAAATTCTTACTGATTTTTAAGTGTCTGTCTTGGAAACAGCCTGGTTCAAAAAGTCACTGTTTAGCATTTCTTTACAGTGAGCTCTGGAGGGAGTTGTGCAAGGTGTTGTGACAGGTTTCCTCAGGAATCGGCTTGCGGTCAGATGTTTTCAAGATGACATCCAAGTTTTGGGAAGGATTAGCAGATGTGTGCTATTGTAATTGTTTGTATTGGTAAAGTAAACCCTACTCAATACATTGTGCTTAGTTCGCTGGCACAGATGACATTCTCACTGAATCTGCTTTCAGCTCTGTGCTTGGATTCTTCCAGAATCCTGTAAAAATTGAACTTGTATATCCAAAAGCAGTGCAAAACATGTTTTGTCTTTGAATATGTTATTCTGAAAATGGAAAAGTGGTAGAGAGAAAGCTAGTAAAAAATGAGGGTAAAAAAATGTAAGATTGTTTCATTATCTCCATAAGGATGAAGGGACTTGAATTAAGTGCAGTAGTTGCAACTGATCTTAGAAAGCTAGCACTGATTTTCAGGGTAGAGGGATGTCTTCCAAAGAAGTGAAAGTGGGTGGGAGGGTAAGGGTGAAGTAGTGCCTGCAGGTGTGTTCAGGAAGTTCAAAGCTCTGCTTAAGTTGCTTCACTAGACCTCTGATGACCTTCACTGTGATTATGTTTCTACTTAAAATGCTATGGTTAGTTATTCAACCTCCAGTAAAACTGTGTAATAGTATAATTTGTATTTAATAAATTAACCCTGGTTCCTGTGGTGAACTGATTTGGGGAATGAGACTGGCTGAAAATTTTTCCTTCCCTCCCTCTTCCCAGTTGAACTTCCTTCTGTGCTGGGTCCCTGTGTGGCTCCCTGAAGTTCCATTGGGAGCCAGGGTTAACTCAGGAGAAGGGGTGGGGTGGGCAGAAAGCAAAGGAGTGGAGCCAAGTAGAACCATCCCGTCTGTCCAGCTGCAGCTCCTTTGAGAACCATGCCTGTTTATAAAGCCAAGCAGGGGGCAAGCTTAAGAAGAATGTATGCACTTAAGGGTTTTATTCCCAGCGCATAATACGGAAGCCCATATTTTTGATTACTGTGCTGTATCCTTCTCTTGAGACAGACTTCTGCCTTGAGGTTTTAGTCTGGTGGGTTTAAATGGTTCTGTAATCTAAATTAGTGGATTTGTGGTGATTTAGGACTGACGGCTTGTGAATTTAGCAGTGAAGTAGCTGGATATTTTGTTTTTGTCTAGGAGAAAAGCAACAATTCATGTTCATGTCTTAATTCCTTTCTGGAGACCAGAGTAAATTAATAACTAGCTTCCTGCTTGGAGCTCATTAGATTTTTAGCTGTATGCTCTGCAGCTCCTGTTCCCTTACCATGGGCTTTAGGGTCTGCATAGCACAGAACTTCCTTGCTTTTAGTTAACTAATCCCTTGAATAATGGTTTCAAATAAGAGATTAATTCAGAAATATTAATTCTGTTGCAACATATGCTGTAGGGTGGGCCTTGTTTCATTTGTTAAGTTATTAATAAATTGGAAGAAGATAGAAAACCAATGCAATTATATCACTCTAGTCCTTCATTCTGGTTTTGACAGTTTCTGTTTGCAAGGCCAATTCTAAACCTCAGGCTGAGTTGGAATATGTTTCTTGTGGCAGCCCTATGGCATAACCCTGCTGTAAAGCAGATTCCTGACCCACCACATAGAGAGTGGCTTAATTATGCTGTTAGTATGTTGTGTGAATAGGAAAGATCTGCTTGACTAATGGCAATTTTTTTTTCTCTGGTAAGTTTACCTCAATGGTATGAGGAACTTGGATTAGAAGGCTGGATTTAATTTCATTAGGGCTTCTACAGTTTGTTAAGTATGTAAATCAAGAGGCTTAATAGCACTAGGAATTTCTCCAAAAAAGGAGGATTTTTTAATTCCATCTTTTTCAGAAACGGAAGTTGTCGCAAAGTAGTTTGGAGTAAAGTATGATTTTTCTTTCTGTAATTTACATTATTTCAGTGAGTACAGATGAAACTCATAAACACTAGTCTTTCTGTGCAGGATTTTTCTTCCAGCTCTTGAAGGTTTGCTTTAAAACTGGAAACCTTAGTTAGCATTTGGTACAGATGTGTAGGAATTATTTTCTTAATATCTGTTTTACCTCATGTATTTCTTCTGAACAGTTTAATGTTTCCTGTATTATTAGCCAACAACTTATCTTTGAGTGGCTTAGATATACAGGTAGTTATTGAGGTAAAGGGTGTCTACCCAATTATTACTCGGATGTAAAACTTGAAGTAGCATGAATAAGTTTGGTTTTAGTGCTGTCCTTCAGTGAGGAGGATTGCTGTTTTAACTGAACTCGTGCCTGTTTCTTTCCAGAATTCACAGAACATTCCATGCATATATTGCAGTGAGTGACCAACTTTCTCAGTGGACCAAATACTGTTTAAAATATCTCTAGTCTAATTGATATTATCAACACTTTTATCAACACTTAACAAAAAGATGTGCAGTGCAGTTCTACCAATTGCTTACTGACCGGAAATCTTTCTTTTTATTATAGATCATGTATAGCCTTTGGACCCAAGAATCGCTCAATTGGTGCTGCAGCTAAAAGCCAGGTGAGCGTATAGTTTGGGTAAAAGCAACTTCAGTAGTCAAGAATCAGATTAGCACAATGTATTTTTTATCATTGTAGGTTACAAATGTCTCTGAGCTGGTGTCCTAGTGTCTCCATAACTGTAATGAACAGCTGAGCTTAATTCAGCTGTTCAGCATGTAATGCTGCTTTGTCATCTTGGACAGAATAAGGGTTGATAGTTGTATGTAATGAAATGTAAAAAAAAAAAAATAAAAAAATTTTGCCCTTAAATTCTGATAAATACTTGTGTTTTCTTTTAGGATGCAAATGTAAATTCTAAAGCTAAGCAGTAGTGTTTCATCCTACCTTAGCTTTTTCCAGTTTGTGTGCATTATGATAGCTTTTAATTGTGTGACTATATTCTATAGAATTCCATTAAGTGCATAGTTTTGGCAGAAAGGGGACAAGCTTGAGCGTAAATATATATAGCTTTCTTGACTCTTTGTGGCTGAATTACAACCTATATACTTGTCTTAGGCATTCTTGTTCATACCTTGAGTTTCTGTTGGTGTAGGTAGGTAAATATGATTTAAGGACTGAGAAGAAGTTAAGCTGATTTGTCCTGCTTGTGACATTTGGGTCCTGCTGTATTGTATCTTGTATTGCTGTGAAACCCCTATAAAACATGATTTTTTTTGAAGTCCTCTACAGGAAGTGACTATTCAAACACTTGGTTTTTCTTAGCCTAAAATACCTAGAGATGTGTGAAGATTCATTATCTAGAATACAAAAATGACTGGACACAACCATGTTATTCAAGAACAGAAGAACTGTACTAGAACTAAATACAGATGTTTTTTCTGGAATTGAGTGTCTGCTTAGCTTAAAGAAATTCATTGATACAGAGATCCAGTAGAGATGAGGTATGTCCTGCAGAAACTAAACTTACAGAAAATTAAAACCAGGTTACTTAGGAAATAGACACTTGACTGAAACTGAATCGGAGGTAAATGTTATATGGTACAGTGCTTGTCTGCTTTGTCAATTACTGTGTTTTTTCCAGTATGTATCTTGCTCTAATGTAAATGAAAGAATTAAACAAGTTTACTTGCACTACGTGAAAATAAGCTATAACGATTTTTCACTTCTTTACTTGCACTGATCTCTGTTATTAATAAGGCAATCTACCTTTTGTCAGTTAAATCAAGTTGACAATATCACGTTGGTGCCCTCCTGACTTTTTAAAGCTTCATGACAAGGTCCTTGAGCTGTTTTGTGAGAATATCTGTGTGTTGGCTGTCACATGCATGTGATGAACCTGAACTGGAGTTTACGTCAATATGCTTGTTATATTTGCAAAATTACTGGCTGCAACGCAATAGAAAGGTAGGGTGATAGGAAACAGGTAAATGGGAAAGACACTTTGCTAACATTTTTAAAGTGTCCTATGCATAGACTATGAAAATTGAGTGCCATTTTAATTGATTTTAGAATCTTGGCTCAGTTTTCTAGCATACATTTTATTTTAAATCTCAAATTCCTGTAGGTTACCTGAGCAATCAGAGGGAAGTTGTCTTCTAGCAGCTGCCCTGATACTATTAAGATACAAATCACAAAAATATTCTGGTGAGGGAAGCATGAGAACAAAACTGTCTTCTGCTTGAAATTCAGATGTTCCCCTGACACGTTGTATTAAAGATTTCTTTTCCTCTAGGTTATTTCAAATGCAAAGAATACAGTACAAAGTTTTAAAAGATTTCATGGTCGTGCATTCTCAGATCCCTTTGTTCAAGCTGAAAAAGCAAGCCTTGCGTATGAACTTGTCCAGCTGCCAACAGGCTCAACTGGCATCAAGGTAAGTCTGGCATATTTGAAAAAGAGCCAGAGGAGGGAACTGATAACGTTTCCTTTTATCTCCTTATTTTGAATCTGCTTGCTGTAGTTTCTGTTCTCTTGTGAATGGAAAGTCTTAAATGGGGAATAAAAGGCTAGTAATATAGATGGTCTTTCCAGGTGTTAGGTGAGACTGATTTTACAGTTGTAGAATTTCTCTGCCTTGCAAAGCCAGTCCCACACAAACTGTTTTAGCAGTTCTTCTTTCCTTCACTCCATGGTGAATTTGGAAGACAAGCTACCTGGCCAGTGGACTTATTTAGGTGCTGTCCAGATACTGCAAGGGTGTAAGATGCTAGCTTAGTACTTTGGGTGAAATGGTAAAAATTTGTCTTTTTCAACAATGGCTGAACTTCTGATTTGGATTTTAGCAGTAACTAATTGACTTACCCCAGAACAGTAGTGAGAAAGGCATCCTAGGCATTGTCTAGCAATTGGGATTAAAAAAAACCAAACAACTGTGTCCAGAGCAGCTTTGTGTATGTGAATTCTTAAATGTGCATTTCAGTGTTTATGTATTATCTTCTTGCAATTGCTGTGCATAAGCTAGGCTGTCAGAGAGCAGGTTGTCTAAAGCTGCATTACTTTCAGTAAAGACTGTTTCTTGCATGTGTTCCTTATGTTTGTAGTGCGTAGTTTTTACTGTAATGTGTGTACACAATTTTTATTTGAAGGCCATGTACATGGAAGAAGAAAGAAACTTTACTATTGAACAGGTGACAGGAATGCTTCTTACCAAATTAAAAGAGACTGCTGAGAATGCGCTTAAGAAGCCTGTAGTTGACTGTGTTGTTTCTGTAAGTATGTGGTAGTACGTATTTGGCTGGTATCATAAACTGAAATGATTGCAGCATTAAATTGCCCATTAAACTTGAATATTCAGTTATTTGTCTTTTCTGTTTAAAACTGAATCTTGCTCACATATCTTCTTCAAAACTAGACTTACTTCATTAATGGTAAAATGTCATAAATTGCTGCTAATTAGCAGCATAAATAATAATTGATACCTGTTTCTGTTTCTTTGCTCCTAAAATGAGTGGCTTGTGAGGCAGAATGGAAGAAGATTCACAAAAAGTAACTTTGTCTTCATGTAATGTTTTCTTTGCTTTTTCTCTATTGCAACTGAAATGAACACTAAATTTGAGGGATACCTCAGCTCTGCTCTATACTGACTCTCTAGACATACTTGTCATTATTTGCTACAGATGGCTCTTCTAAATGTTAATATTAGATATCTGATCTTCTTGCAGGTTCCCTGTTTCTACACAGATGCAGAAAGGAGATCTGTGATGGACGCTACACAGATTGCTGGTCTCAACTGTCTGAGACTAATAAATGAAACAACTGCAGGTAATACCTTCCTTTCTCTCCCCCTCACTTAATATTGTAGCTTTATTAGCTAAAAATGCTTTTAATCTGTTGCTGATCCATGCCCTCTGGAATTACCACTGGTTTTGCAAACTTAAAATAGATTAGTTGATAAAGTTCCTTAAGCTCTGGTCTGTTTTTTCATTGCTTTATGGAGGCATAAAGGTATTTCTTGAGTATCTGTTTTAATGCAGCTACTAGGAGGGGCTAATACTGTTTAACATTATTCCATGTTCCTTTAGCATTGGGAACTTTGTTTAACAAGATACCAATTTCTGTAGGTTGGAAAGTAAGATGAAATGCTGATGCTGTTTACTGATGTACCATTTATTTCTTGAGGAATTACAAAACTGGAAGTCCTAACTATGCTCTTTGACTCTTGTTTCTCTGTAGTTGCCCTTGCGTATGGAATCTATAAGCAAGACCTGCCTGCCTTGGAAGAGAAGCCACGGAATGTTGTTTTTGTGGATATGGGGCATTCTGCATATCAAGTTTCTGTTTGTGCATTCAACAAAGGAAAACTGAAAGTAAACAATCTATTATGCATCCATTTTAATTATCAGTAAAAATATTCATCAGTACATACATGGCCTGTGACAGGCAAGCTTGCCTGGCTTTACATAAGCGTGTCCAGACAGCTCAATTCATATTCTTAAAATTGCACTTTGTCTGGAGTTAAAAGTAGGGCAGGGAGCTAGAGAGCTTTTGAGTGATACATAGAGGAAGGAAACATGCCTTAATTGCCAGACTTTGGCAAAGAATAAAAAAACGGGATTAAATTGTTTGTTTATTCAGAAATTACCATATCTGACTGGGTGCTGCTTTCAAAAAAAATACTCTAGTTCAGTCATGAGATCTAGCATTAAAACAAGAATTCCTAGAATGGTATAAGTGACAAACGTTTTTTTTAACACTCACTGTGGTGCTCATGTAAAAGAGTAAAAACTTTCTGAATTACTTTAAGCTGCAAATGGAAGCTAAGCAAGTTACAGTGTACTTGTAAGTGTAAGTTGCCAAAGCATTACTGTTTTCCAGCAAATACTAACATTTCTTAGTTGGCTTTTTTATGGTTACAATCTGGACTTTTGCAGTTCCAGTAATTTCTCTTAACTAGAAAAACAAAAAAAAATTTTAAAGCATGGGGTAGTGAAATGAAGAGAAGACAAGAGTTCTGAAAACATTAGTGTTGTTGTAGCTATGTTTCCTCTAGTGAGGAAACGTAACCTACTTTGTGTTTCTCAGATTTGTCCTTTGAACTTTGAAACCATAGAAATACGGAAGAGATGCTTTTGAGTATAGAATGGAGAACTGGACAGCAAGGCAGTTAAAAACAGCGTAGAGACCAAACCTAGTCTGAAGGTGTATTGAGAATAATGTGATACTTCACTGATTTCTATTCCTGGGGGGAAAAAAAAAAATTAAGTTTGCAATATGTTTAAAGAGTAGAATCAGCTGAGGTGGATAGGCTACAGGTGTTCTTTGCGGATAATTCCTTTATCGGAAATGAGCACCTATTTGCAAGAGTTAATAACAGTTATTCTCTTCATGTTTTATTTTTAGCTTGGTGTAAGCATGTTCCACCCTTATGAGGCATCAAATATTAAACTGGGATATGATTCAGACTGACAGTGGCTAAGCAGAATTTGAAAACTCTGATGGTCTGCTTACAGTACAAGTTGCTGAACAGATTGTGTTGCTAAGCCTTACCCTATCTTCCTAAATTTTTTCTAAAAGTTGTCACCTCATTACAGGAAGGCTGGGTGCCCAAGGCTGCTTTTTAGCATTTGAGATAGCAGATGTTTTTTTCTCCTGGAGCTTGTAACTGCTGTATGTATGCACTGCAATTCTTATGAGAATTATCATTTACAAAGAGGTCTAATATTTGTGTGGCTGCCAGAATTTGTCTGTGGTAATGGTGGTTCTTTATCCAACAGCATTTTGAACATATCTAATATCAGCTACAAAAGGCATAGGATAATCATGGTAGGCTTAAAAAAAAAAAAGCATATCTTAGCACGTGTGCAACTATTACTGCAGTTGCAATTCACATAAACTATCAGATGTTAGTAATGCAATTGCTACTTAGATTGCCCTGAAATACAAGAGAATAGCTTAATTGTTGCCGGCAGTGTCCATGAAATGTGAAAGATGAGTACGGGATGTGGCTTTATTGTTTGGGATAGGTTAGACTTCTAGATGAGGCTCATCAAAAGAAACTCTTTACTGGTAATGGCAAGGGCAGAATAAAAATGAACTGTACCAGATCTTTTTCTGTTATGGCTGCACCGGTATAATTCGTCCTCCATAGTAATGTTGTGACACTTGCTTTCATTTAAAGTTGGAGTATATTTGACACAAAGAAATGCTTTGACATTAACTGCTAATTGGTTTCACTGAGGTAACGACAAATTGTACTATTACTGAAGAATTCAATTTTTTTAAGGTTCTTGCTACATCATTTGATACAACACTTGGAGGCAGGAAGTTTGATGAGATGTTAGTTGAATACTTTTGTGAAGAATTCGGAAAGAAATATAAACTAGACATAAAGTCAAAGATTCGTGCATTGTTGAGACTATACCAGGAGTGTGAAAAACTGAAAAAATTGATGAGCGCTAATGCCTCTGATCTTCCAATGAACATAGAATGCTTCATGAATGACATAGATGTCTCTGGAACAATGAACAGGTAATGTTTATACTTTTACAAAGGTAAGCTTTTGAGTGCTCTTCTTCAGTCAAGAAAGAAACTTTATATAAAATACCAGTTCTTAGGATTGGAGGGAGGTGGGAAATGTGAGAACAACATGGGCAGGGGTACTGCTCAAAATGATAATGTTTAGAGACTGGTCAGTGGCCTTGAGTTGGGAGGGAGGGCTGTGAATATTGCAAGTGTGCCTAGATGGCTAGAACCAAGTTTGTCTGGAAATATACTGAATAAGTTTAAAACTAGGATTGGGGAAAGAGAAAACCCTGCAGTACATAGTTAAAATGGCATTCTTTCAGTTTTGGCATCCTGTTGTATGTGCAGTATTAACTTGCTTATGGTATGCTATAGCTTTATGGCTTCTTCCAACAGGAGCAAATTTTTAGAGATGTGTGATGGACTCCTTGCAAGAGTAGAACCCCCCCTTCGCAGTGTGCTGGAGCAAGCCAGTAAGTGTATATGCATTCTGTATTCTGTATACAGAAGAGTCATCCGAAATGCAAGCTTCCTTTGGGTGTTGACAGAACTTGGACAGATGTATTTAGCGCACCTAACAATTTCTTGCTTAGCAGTTACAAGCTTGTTAAAATTTTCACACAAGCTAAGATTTGAAATTCTTATTGCTTAGAAACTTAGAGAACAAGCTTAAAAGAATGGTTTGTCTAGTAAAACTTCTAGTTTACAATGTCAGCATATTCATGTAAACCAGAAACATTTAATCTATAAAACCAATGTCTAACTGTCTTCTAGAGTTAAAGAAGGAGGATGTTTATGCAGTAGAGATAGTTGGTGGTACCACAAGAATCCCTGCTGTAAAAGAGAAGATCAGTAAATTTTTTGGCAAAGAAGTCAGTACAACTTTGAATGCAGATGAGGCTGTTGCACGAGGTTGTGCGCTGCAGGTAAAAAGTGCTGTTTGTTTTAGCTGTGAGTATTTTTATTGAAATCCATAAATATTTAAGCCAGAGTCCACAGGTAATGTGGGAGATGCTTCATGTGTATCAGAATGGATTCGAATAAGCTTTGAAGGTGGTTGGAAGAATGAGAATAGTAGTTTGTGATTCCTTTGTGCTGTTTGTCTAAGCCAAATGAGTGGATCACTGCAGCTTGTTGAAGCAAAACATGTACTCTGCTTCTGCTGTGTCTGGAAGCTGAAAGTCTGATAAAGCTCACATGATGATGGTTTTTCCTCCAGGCTCCTTTGGGGGCCTAGGTTAAACAGGGAAAAATTTTTTTTTTTTTTTTTTTTACAGCATTACTGATAAACTTGTGAGACAGCAGTTGCTTATTAACATGGATGGAAGTGAAAGCTTAGGTTCTTGCTAATGGAATTCTGTGTCCTGAGCTGTAATTGGTCACTACTGAATAGCTTAAGCAGTAGTAAATACTCTATAGTTAATAGTGCTACCATCTCTTGAATGCACCTAAATTTTGCTCTGATCACCTCAATTCTCTTTTCAAATGTGTAATATATGCTTACAGCTATGTTCCATCGGTGGTACAAACTAGCTATTGTAAACTGCTTAAAAAGAGAATTTTGTGTTACGGTATGCAAAAAGCCTGGTACTATGTCACTCTAAAAAGTAACTTTAATTGAGGTTTTCCTATTTCTTTCTGTTGGCACTAAAAACAATTCAGTAGCCTAACCACACAAGCTGAACATGATGGCTCTAAATTAAACCTTGCATATTTTCACTTTTCAGAGTGAACAGATTGTGATTAGCTTCTTGAAAAGGAAGGGTACATATGAGCTTACAGTGCTTATTATGCAGGTCCCAAGTCCATCAGTATTAGTGTCCCTTAACCTAGAGTAAATCTACATATTAAACAGCATAAATAGCTACTTACTGAATTAAATTACTATTCATCTGAAGTCTGATTGTTTGTAATATGGCTCTTTTGCTCTTTCAGTGTGCTATTTTATCCCCGGCTTTCAAAGTGAGAGAATTTTCTATCACAGATTTGATACCGTATCCTATTTCTTTACGATGGAATTCACCAGCAGAGGAAGGGTTAAGGTAAAAAAACTGATGTTCAATCTTCTTGCATGTTTACATACAGCTTAAAACTAACTGATGACAACTAGAGTAAATAACACTTCCAGAACAATGCCCACTTAACAATTCAAGCTTTGATACTTTTTCTGAAGTTAGTGATAGTAGAAAACAAAACCAAGAATGGGTGGCAGTTCAGCACTTCCCACATGGCTATCAGTCTTATTTTAACCTAAAAGGTTAGGAGATGCTTTTGTCACTTCTTAAAGAAGCTTTTCCTTAAGAAATAAGAGGATCTGGAAAAGTTTTGTTAACTTGTTCAGTATGTGGGATAACGCATCTGATAAAGTGCTCTGTTTTTTCTTACAGTGACTGTGAGGTCTTTCCCAAGAACCATGCTGCTCCATTTTCAAAGGTCCTCACATTCTACAGAAAGGAACCTTTTACTCTTGAGGCATACTACAGTTCTCCCAAGGAATTGCCTTACCCAGATCCTGCTATAGGTTAAGACCATTCTATAGCTTTATATTAATAGTCTTGTACATGTTTCAGGACTTCTTTCTGTCTAATTATATAGTCTGGAAAGTGCAACCTACTACAAATGCTGTAGGGACAGGTTTCCAAAGTCATGGTTCTACAGTGAAATGAGTGGAATAACATGAAGTTCATGGACAAATAGGCTAAATAAAGAGCATCTTAATGTTGGAGCAAACCTTAAAGGGGCATACTGAGAGTTGTGCAGTCTTTTCCTATAGTACAAGTAACACCAGCTTTTACAGCGTACCATAGAGAATTTCTAATTGCTGTGTATCCTAGCATTGCTGAGTAAAATCTGAATTGTTTGGATTGAGTAGGATTGGATATCCTCTGAGTGCGTTGCAGTGATCTGTTGTCAGCAACAGTCAGGTTTTACTTTACATTCAATGATTAAGTTAATCAAATGGTACGTTTTTTCTTTGGGATTATTTAGCTCACTTCTTGGTTCAGAAGGTCACTCCTCAAACAGATGGATCCAGTTCAAAAGTGAAAGTGAAAGTTAGAGTAAATATCCATGGAATCTTCAGTGTTTCAAGTGCATCTTTAGTGGAGGTTCATAAATCTGATGAGAGTGAAGAGCCTATGGAAACAGATCAGCATGCAAAAGAGGAAGAGGTAATAGACTTAATTGCTCCTAGCTACTTAGAAAACTGCTTTTATGACAAAGCATAATTGGCCAAGTTTTGGGAAGTTCTAAGACTTGTGTAAGATTTCAGTAAATGTGTTCAGCAACTAAAATACGAAGATATGATTAAGTACTAACTGAAGTATGTCACACCAGTGACAGATTTCTTGAAACCAGGACTGTGAGGTATAGATGAAATGCTTAATTATGCTAGGAGTGAGCTGTTACTTGCCTAAGCAAAGACTAGAAGCTTCTAATTTATGCCTTGAGACTCCACTTCAGTTTTTGTTCTGTTTCTTCTTTTGCCTAAAGAGCATTAGGTGTAATTGATCAGCCTAAGAACTAAAGCAATCATCTGCATGTGCATTGTTTTAATATGTCAAATTGGATCTGTCTATGAATTTCAGAAGATGCAGGTAGACCAGGAAGAGCAACAAAAGCCTGAAGAGCAACAGCAGGCCCAACCTGAAAATAAGGCAGAGTCTGAAGAAATGGAGGTAACATTAACATCTGAGAGACTTCTGTTTTCTTACAGGATACTCTGGAAGATTTATGAGAATATGTAGTGTGTGAGCCTGTCTGCTGCCTTTGTCATAGCTCTGGAAGATAAACTTTTATTTGAATATATTGGTAGTTTGTATTGTGATTGGAGCTTAAGAAGTGCATAAATGGCTTGGGTAATTGCAGATCTGTCAAGTGACCTAGTACTGATAAAATGGGTGAACTCTCCTGTTCATGGAAGACATAATAATTTAGTTTTCAATAACTTAAATACTAGAAAAGTGTTCTACTATAAGCACCATCACTCCCATGAATGTAGTCAGTGTGCCCAGAAAATGTCAGTAGTTGTATTAATTATCTCTGACTTCTTTAGCAGCTGAAGTGTCAGAATGACAGACAGTAGTATGTAGTTCTAATGAAGTGCACTAACTCAATAATACTTTTTCTATTACAAGTCTTGAATACTTGAACTGTTGGGTGATGCTGTTTTTACTTTGAGTTTATTTTTTTAATGCAGACTTCTCAGGCTGACTCAAAAGACAAGAAAGTGGATCAACCACCTCAAGCCAAGAAGGCTAAAGTAAAGACGACTACAGTGGACCTTCCCATTGAGAATCAGTTGGTGTGGCAGATAGGGAAAGATATGCTGAACTTATTCATTGAGAATGAGGTAAACTTTACTTGCCCAAGCTACAAGTTTCACTAGCTGATCTCCAGAAATTTTGCTGTTCATTAAACGTGGTTAATGCTTAAGGGTGATCAAGGAAAGATGAGAAGGAAAAAAAATGCAGTTTTTTCTGAGGTGAACAACAGTGCCCCATGAAGCCAAAATACATTCTCCTTGTTAAGTGAATGCTGTAATTCTTACTGAAGAGGTGTTCTGCAGGAGAGCTAGTTCATAGGGTGATTATTTCCAAAATCACCTGCAGTTACAAGGTACTCAATGGCTGCTACCATCAGGGTGAAGGTTCCTCAACTGGAGGAAGATTGTTCTGTACTGTATTGGATATCCCACCAAAACTGAAGTTAGTTTTTATTCATGTGCTCTGTTTAGAACAGTTCTGTAAACTACAGCATTTCAAAATCTTTAGTCAAACTTAAGCCTTTGCTAACAAGGTATCCTGGCAATAAATGTTAAATAACTAGCTTTTTAGCCAACTAATTTGACAACTTTTTCACAGGGTAAAATGATAATGCAGGATAAGCTAGAGAAAGAGAGGAATGATGCCAAGAATGCAGTGGAAGAATATGTGTATGATATGAGAGACAAACTCTGCGGTATTTACGAGAAATTTGTTAGTGAAGATGTAAGTATTGCTAGCTTGATGGTTTCCTGATAAGTTTTGTTACAATGAACAGTATTTTAATAACCTTTGACCTGTATCAGATACTACATTTACTTAGACTATATTTTCAGACTTTGGAGAAATAGCTTTTAACCTTTCTGGCTATGAAGATAACCTTCTAAATGTGGCCCAAGTACAAGCAGATGGTACCCAGGATATATTGTGTCCTCTTTTCTAAAACAGTTGCAGCAATTAAGATCTTATCAGAGCATGTGTTTTCAGACTGAAACAGACTAGGAGCACTTGCAGAATAATTTTAAGGCAACCTATTCTATTTTGGCTCTTTGTCAGTATTCAGGAATAGTTTAAGATTAAAAAAACCAATCCAACAACAACCCTACCTAGGAACATAATAGGTGGAATTAGTCTGACTAAATGTAGGCACCTGTACCTGAACAGGCTGCCTAAAAATCTCTTGGTATTATTAATTATCTTTCCCTGTTGTACTAAAGGAACTTGGTGCGTAATTAATATGTTAAATGTCTACATTAGTCAGATGAATCACCCCAAACTCTTGACTAGATCCCCATTGGTTATAATGGGAGCCTTGCCAGCAAGGTGTCTACAGAGCCTGGGTACCTCTGTCAGAGCTAAAACAGGGACAAGTTGAGTGAGATTCATGGCACCTTTGCTGAAGATAAGTTTCACTCTGTTCTCAGACTTGCTTGTATAGTGATGATGAAAATGTGAGGGGGGGAGGGGGAGAAGGAAAAAATAGGCTTTTATGTGACAGTATTGATGTCAGTTGTGGGTGCCCATAGATGGTTCTTCCTTAGGCTGGTCTCCACCATGAAGCCATACTGAAGAATATTTTATTTGTTATTTTTCACTGAAATGGGATAAAGAGTTCAGACAGTTGTTTACCTCCTAAAAATGTAACCCTTCCAGAAAGGTTCCAAGTATCATTTAGTACCATCTGCCATCTAACAGAATTATCTCACCTACCTATTTTGTATGGATTGCTTTAGGATCGAAATAGTTTCACGCTGAAGCTGGAAGATACAGAAAATTGGCTTTATGAAGATGGTGAAGACCAACCCAAACAAATTTATATTGATAAATTGACAGAATTGAAGGTAAGTGATTCTTGCATTCCCACGGGGATTTACTGAATCTAGAGAACTTTGTTCAAGTGGAGAGCTGTCTCGGGTCTGCTGATTCAGTGGTAACAAACGACTTAGTTTGCTTATTAAGTATACGAGGAGCAGATCTCCTGTAGACCTGTAATAATACAGGGTTGAGGAAGACTCAGTCTTCCCTGTAAGTGGAGGGAAGAGTAAAAGTTCCAAGGAGTTCAGAAATGTTGATGCGTTCTGTCAGATCTTGCAGGATCATATTGTGATGCTGCATGGTTTTTGATATCTGTTGTACTTTGTTTCAGACTCTGGGTCAACCTATTCAGGCAAGATTTCAAGAATCAGAGGAAAGACCAAAAGCATTTGATGACTTAGGGAAGCAAATTCAACAGTACATGAAAACTGTTCATGCATTCAAAGCAAAGGTATTTCCATACTTAACTTTTGGCAAATGCAAGGAAGTGGTACAAATCTTTTCTGAATTTTAAGTAAGTTCCTTTGAACAAAAAGCTGGTGCAACCTCCCGGCTAGCTTCTGAGTTCTTGATATTTAACATATTTTCAGAAGTGGGTGTTGGCTGAAAACCTGACAGTCTTTTTTTAATCAGGTGTTGATTTCCTCATGGGGGGGGGGGGCGGGAAATGCCAGCAGCAGTAGAACCTTAGTTCTCTGGTTATAGAGCTGTAGTTGATCACCTTGTGGTTGATCTCTGTTAACCAGAACAGCCTTCTGGCTTAATGGTCTTTCTTGTATTTTGAAGCTAAAAGTTTGAAGAAATAAGCATGCAGTTCACATGTTCAAAACAAATATTTGCACAGCTACTACTAATTTGGCTGTTTCAGGATGAACAGTATGACCATCTAGATGAAGCAGATGTAGCAAAAGTGGAGAAGAGTGCAAATGAAGCTATGGAGTGGATGAACAATAAACTTAATCTTCAAAACAAGAGAAGTCTTACTTTGGACCCAGTTATAAAAGCTAAAGACATACAAGCTAAAACTAAAGTAAGTCTGTTTATGTAATTCACTGTATTTCCATGAATCTTTCTGTTTCTTGGTCTAGTTGTTTGTGCTCAGAGGAAGACTCTGATGTGAGAAATCTATAATTAGAAGGACAGTGATAGGGTATTAATCTCTTAAACATGTGTTTTGGGGAACACCAGCCCCCAACTTGAATAACTTCTTCTGACCATACTCGATGGATAATTGGAGCAACAGGTTAAAGTACAACTGTTGGTATACAGAAACATTTCTAACAGTATTTTATTTCTGTGTTTTCTAGGAATTGACAAGTATTTGTAATCCTATAGTCACAAAACCAAAACCCAAAGTTGAACTCCCAAAGGAGGAGCAGAAACCAACTGAACCCAATGGACCAGTAGAAGGCCAGGGAGAAGCCAACGGTGGGTCCCAGGCTGCTGAACAGAGTGCTGCTGCTGCTGCCCCAACGGCCACAGAGAAGAAGCTTCCCGAAATGGACATTGACTGAATTTCAGCACTTGTTTATATTATTGCAAACTACAATAAAGCTTTAAGTTGTCAACTTTGTATGTTCTGAATACAAATTGAAGCAAGTGAATACCACAGCACTCTTAGGAATTTTTGGAGAGGTTTGGTCAATGCATCAAGTCAGAACGCTTAGGTAGCTAACTACTCAGTTGAATAAGCAGTATTTCTTACCATTATGATTGTATTTAGAAGTTTTGGTATTCTTACTTGACCTCCAGGAACAGCCATAAGCTGGTTCTCCATTTTTAATGTCCATGGTGAGTTGATCTTATTTTAAAGGAGTGAGACAGCACCCTCTCAAGCCAGACTGGGCACACTGTTGTTTGGTCCCTTGTGGACTGCAGCAACAGTGTTTATATAAAGTGCCCCTTGACACTTGCACTGCAAGAAGATAGTGGGGGAGAGGGAGTGCTCCTGCTAAAGCATAGACTTTCACTTGCTCACCTTAATCTAACCCTCGTTTTTAGTGTTAATGCACCACTCTAGATTTGATTTGCACTTGAACAGTTCATAGTAACAATGTTTGCAGAGCATCAGCATGTTTATTCCTTAGCTGGTGCCCTTGCCTGACAGGTGACTGGGATTCATTGATCTGATAACATAGAGTAGCAGCCACTGTGCACTCCTGCAGCTCAGACCATGAATGTGCTCTTAGACACGAGTGTCTGCTCCTGGCCAACTCCCCAGCTGGTTAGAGCCTGTAAACTTTTTTGTCTCTAGTGAAATTAGCTGCTTGTAGAAAGAATGAATACTTGTATTTCAGCTGCCTATGCTGATAGCCGATTCTGACTTGTTCCTAACTTTTTCTGAAGGGGGTATGCTTGCTTCCACAAGGCCTTCATTTGGAATGCTTGGTTGTTTTTTTTTTTTGTTCTGTTTTCTTTCCCAGGAAAAGAAAGACCTGAGCGATTTGGCATTTTTTTCTATGAGCTTTATACAATGATTTGCTTCTAGTACTGATTGTCATTAAACTTGCAAACATTAATTTGTATGTGTTAAAATCCAAAGCTGAAACACCCATTCAGATATTGCAAGAAATAAATGCACTGGATTCTACTGGATCACCTTCTCCAGCTGTTGATTGCCATCGAGAGAGAACTCGGGGGCAGGGGGTAGAGGTGAGGGTTGTGTCCCTCCTTGCTGGAGGTGTGCGAAGAGCTCTGGTTTTAATGCCAGCGTGAAGCTGTGCTTTACAGGCGTCGGTGTAAACCCGCTTTGACGAAGTAGAGTTAATACATACCGGGGGTCGGGGGCGGCCCTGAGCTCGGCGGCCTTATCCCCGCGCCTGGCTGACCGGGGCAGCTCCTCACACCGCCG